GGTTTCCGGTCCTTAAAAATCAAGGATTCATGTCCCGGTCTATTCAGGTTCGGGTTAGGTCCGGACCGGTGTACAACCCTAATAGCAACCAAATTTGATTCAATTATCAAACAAGGCCCGAAAATTTACATAATTATAGGGGTATGTGATTTAATCATCAAATTAGGCTCATAATTTTCTTTTCTAGCTACATAATTGCTAGTTATGAGCTTTCGTAATCTTATTATTACTTAGAACCAATAGTTCAGAGTTTCGATCAAAGATGAGCTATGGATTTGTGAAATTGATATGATGATTACTAAAAGTAACAACAACTTACCCAATGGAGAACGTGAAGTGAGAGATGTTGAGTGCGCTTCAATTGAGAACTGAGAAAGAGTGGGAGGGGGAACAAGAGAAAGTGGCACTACACTAGCAAGGGTCATTTATAAGTGGGCCAGATCTATCCAATAGACAATGGGTTATACGCGCGAATTTTAAGGTGTACCATGGTGTACTACTTACACCGAGTCTATAGTTTTGAATTAGATTAATCTCGTGCGATGTACGATTTTAAAATAAGAATAGAATTATAGACTTTTAACACCGTAGTGAAAGAAAATAAATTCCTCATTTTTCCTAATTATTCTCTCCATTTTTAAATACTTGCTCCATTTCTATTTTTTGTATTATTCATTTGTCCTACTTTGACTAATGTTTATGATTTATACATAAGAAAAAATATAGTCTTGTGGGTACTTGTTGGAATCATTTCAATGAATTGATTATTAATTTTCAATTGTTAGAATTTATACTTATTAGTAATTAAATATATTACTGATCAAATATTAACATCGGCATGCATGTCCAAGAGAAATGGAGCAAGTATTTAAAAACGGAGGGAGTAATTTATAATTAAATATGAATATACAATTTCCGAAAGTGCATAGTTTTCATATTTAATTAAGAAATTTCAATTAATTTATATTATTAACTATTGTTAACAACTCGTAAATAACTAAATAGTATAATATGTGTAGAAAACCCAAAATTTAAAAATTTAAATGGAATACATTTTCAAAACTATGTTAAATAAAGTGGCTTAAAAAAATATGACATCATCCTTGCATTTTGAAGGGAAAAAATTAAATAAAAAAGTGACACATAGGCAATGATGACATCATCGGTTGTTATTTTAGTATATATACTAATTTTTGGCCCCGTGCAATGCACGAATTTATAAAACAAGATTTCTTAATAATTATAGTCGATTGACATTAAATAGAGTTCATTGAAATAAAATGACTAATGTAATACTCCCTCCATTTTCTTTTACTTGCAACACTTCCCTAAAAAGGAAATGTCACAATACTTGCAACACACTATAAAAAGAAAGTTAATTTAGGGAAAAACTACATTATTTCCGTTATTTAAAGCACATGGCCCACTAAATTACACCCCTAACAACCACTCATCCCATTTTAAAGTGTATTATATCATGTGAACCCCACATTTCTTTAAATATCGTGAAAAAGCGTGTGTTGCATCTAAAAGAAAACGGAGGAAGTATATTTTTTTTTTTCAAATTTGAATTTATTAATGTTTATCTTTTAAATTCTTAAATTAATATGATCACTTGGGGAATCATGTGGCCAGCTGCACTTATAATTTAGGCTCTTACCCTACCTTCCTTGCTGAAGCTATTGATATAAAACTAGCCTTCTGGCCCGTGCAATGCACGACTTGTTCATAGAAAACTGCATAAGATGAGTGAGGAAATACCAATATATAATTATGAGTGTAATATGTAACTGAAAACATAATTAAAGAAATAAAAATTTTGGGACTTTAATTTGAAATGAGACTTAATAGAAAAAAGATGGAGGGACTAAAATCAAAGAGAGAAAATAAAAAGGTTGAATTAAAGAGGGGAGATGAAGATGAAGTATTTAATGAAAGAGTTAAGAAAAATTGTATAATAAAATATAAAAAAGGTAAAACGACATGTGGCACATTGGGTTGAAGAATAAGATAGGAAAGTGTAATAGAATGATGACATATGTCTTTTTGGTTTGCTTTTTTAAATACTAAGTATAGATATAGATTTATTAAAAGAATTTAAATTTTTTAAAGAAAATAAATGAATAGCATTTTGGGGGGAAATTTTTTCACAAAATTATGCCAAGTGTCCCCTTTGTTGATTACTTTAGTATATAAATATAGATAGATAGATAATTTGTAAAAAGGTATGAACAGTTACAAATTTTAAATATTTGGTAAAAAATCTAAACATCGTAAATTTTGAACATTTAGTAAAAAAATTTGAACAATCGCGTGCCAATGCACCATGCTTATACTTTTGAACATTTAATAAAAAAAAAATCTGAACAATTACAAAATTTGAACTTTTAGTAAAACAATCTGAACATCATAAGAACATTTAGTTAATAAATATGAACAATCGCAATGCACCACACAGTCCACACCTATACTTTTGAACATTTTGTAAAAAAATATGAACATTGCAAATTCTAAACATTTAGTAAAAAAATCTGAATAATCGCAAATTTGAACATGTAGTATATTAAAATACAACACTATATAATAAACATCAATTTTTTGAAAGAAGTTTATCTGACTCGTTATAATTCAATATTTTTGTAATATACTAGGGTGACCTACGCGCGTGATGCGCGCAAAGGGCTAGGTCTTCAGAGAAGTTGTATTGACGTGTATTTATACCTTTGGTTTGGCTGGTAGACCTGGTAGTTTTAATACGTACTATTTGATTTATGTGCCTATGTGGTGGCGATGTAGAAATATAAGAAAGCCACAAAAATCTTTTATGGTAGTTATTTTTTAAAACCCTAAAAGTTTGATAGTGTTTTTTTCCAAATTATTATTAAATGGTATTTAATTGATTTGTATCCGATTCCTTCATAATTTAAGCGGCAATTGTCAGTTTAGAACTCTTAATTTATTTACATGTTTCAATAATATCTAATGTGTTTTTATTCAAATGAATTCTTTGTGAGCTTTGGTCATACGAAGTTTTAAAATGTGAAGTGTTTATTGTAGCTAAAAACTTAGGGTTCGTTTGGCATTGCTGTGGTTTTCTGTTTTATTGTTTTTTGTTGTATAAAAATATATGATACATGTCACATAATGAATAAAAAATTATTTAAACTTATTAAAACCATAATAATTTTGAAAACTGACAACAAAAAAGTGAAAACACCTTTTTCTTGTTTCCTGTTTTTGGTTTTTAGTTTTAAAAAAAACAGGAAACTAAAAACCAAAAATGATGCCAAACAAGCCCTTAATAATGTAAGTTCTTCCGTTAGTTATACTTTTCCTTTTAAATTCTCTCCATAATTAATTAATACCAATTTTTTTTTCCAATCATCGTTGCCCTTGATTTTAGGATTTTTAAGTTCTTAATACCTCTTGATAACATCTGCTCAAATATCACTTTTTAATGTGAATCCCATTCAAATTCCATAATGTTGTTCATGTGCATTTCAAAGCTAATAAACCTTAATAGTAGTAGCAATTAAATGACGATAAAATTGTAAATAAGAAGAGTAACCACGAAGGAGTAAAAATAGACAGTCTTTTGGTAATAAACAGTCTCTTTGTACATACAGTTTTTTTTTTCTTTTTAAATAATAATAATAATAACATATAAAGTATAAAGCATTAGAATTTTTTTTATTAAAAAAAAAGCTAGCATTACAAGTTTTTTGTTTTAAAAAAAACTTTAAATTAATTGATGATAGGTTTAACGAAAAAAAACATTAAACATATTAATGAGTAAACATATTAATGAGGGTAAAAAAGTAAATAAACATTTTTGTACACTTTTTTGAGGGTATAATTGGTAGAACACTATTCCTAAGAGTTATTTTCTACTTTTTATAAGGTAGGGATAGGGAAACAAAACATTTTACTGTATGTAAATGTAAAATGTTTTCATTTTTTGTAAAATGGTCAATTTTTTTTAAATGTTTTCATTTTTTGTAAAATGTTCAATTTTTTTTTATACTAAATGTCTAAATGTTAAAAATATGAACGTAGTGTACCTATTTATGAAGCAATGATGCTGCTAGGGGTGCTAATTGAGCAGAGCAACTCACAAGCAAATTAAACTCAACTCGGTCAGCTCGGTCAAAACTCGACTTGTATTGGCTCGTACTCGCTCAAATCAGCTCGAAGCTCGATAAGTGTACAAGAAATTCATTATTTTTCTATTCTTCTATCTCTAAAAATAAGTATTTACCTTGACACTTAATAAATTAAAATTAATAAACTTGAGGAAAAATTTATGTAAAGAGAAAAAATATAATCAACAAATGTTTGAATTTAAAGAGACCTAAACATCTAAACGAACAGCTCGTGATCGACTCGATACTTAATGAGAACGAGTTGAGCACCCCTAGGCCCCCTAGGTGCACATAATAATTACTCCCTTCGTGTTTTAATAAGTGTTACAACTTGACCGGGATATAATTTTAGGCAGTTTAATTAACTTAAATAAAATAAGAGGTAAGTGGGATAGTTGAAGTATTAAAAAAGTATGTAAGAAAGATAGTAGGGTTAATAGTTTATCGAAAAATAATGAATGTGAGAGAAATAATAAAATAAAAAGTAGTAGTAGGTTTGGGTGAGGAGCACGAAAGAAGAGAGATATAATATTAAAATGTAGTTTTTTTTTACCAAAACAAAGAAAGTGTGCCACTTGTTAAAACACGACCAAATTTGATAAGCGTAATACTTATCAAAACACGGAGGGAGTATTGACCAAACTAACAAAAATGTTTGTTTTTTGACAAACCAAAAATGGTAATGGACACCAAATAGCCTCATTCCTTTAGTCAGCCCACCAAATTTTGCCGAGGCCCCAATTTTAAATCTAAGACAGCCCAGTACCAAAACTACTAATTTCCAACAAAAAAAAAAAAGTTTTTAAAAAAGAAAACCCTAGTGAGGGTAAAATGGGAAACAAAAATAATTAAACAAGAAGCAGAAAAGCTGGACAGCAACTCACCTATATATTCCCTTAAACCCTTCCGCCTCTTTCAAATTCCTCCAAAACGCTCATTTCTCTCTCCTCTTTAATCCCTAAACCCCTATTTTTCATCTTCGATCTTCCGCCATGTCTATGCAATTTTGGGGTATGTTTAATCAAACTCTTCATTTTTTTGTTTGATTTCTTAATTTTCTGGATTTTTTTGTTGTTTTGGTGTCAATTTTTTTTTGATTTTGTGTTCGACATCTTTTCGCGGAGTTTTCATTTTTGATTTTTGTTTATTATTGCTGGAGTTTTATTTGATTGTATGATATTAGCTGTTTTGATTTATGGATTTGTGTTGTTTGAGATTATTTGTGTGTTGATTTTAGGTTTTGGTGTTTTTGATTCAGTTTTCTGTAGTTTTGAAATTCGTGAATATATTCGCTGTTTGTTTGTTGATGATATATGAATTTTCATTTGATTTTATGTTGGTGTTGATATATAATGTGAAATTTCATGATAATTAGTACTGAAATGTAGCGTAAACTGTGTAAAATAAATTTGCTTAAGTTTTGAAGTTTGAAATGAACCATAACATACAATGTTAGAGTATAATTCTAAAATATAATTAAATCAGAAAAAATTTGAATGTTGAAATGTTGTTTTTGCCGTCACCTATTTAGCTAATCGTTTTAGGTAGTTCATAGTCTCAATTAGATTGAATAGCTCTTATTGCCGAAACCGGTTGTAACTAGGTCATTTTTACCCCATTTTTAGGGGTATGTAGAACTTCTGTTTTCACCTGTTCTGTCATTTCTGTTTGTTTGGAGTGTTCTTTTGTGAAAATGAGAATGTATGCCATTTTATGCTTAATGTTACAATGAATGTGTGCGCGGCATTTCCTTGGCATGAGCGCCAGTCTATTGCGGCGACAGTAGCTCTTCTAGTGCTAATTCATTTTGCGCATTTGTTATTGTATAGGTGTTGAGGTTAAGTCCAAGGTGCCTAGCAAGGTGGAACTCGAATTTGGCAATGTCATTCATCTATCTCAGGTACTTGAATTGGTACCTAGAATTATTGGCTTTGATTGAATGCTGGAGTTTATAGTAGGCTTACTTTGGTTTTTCTGTTTTGTTAGGCTACTCTAAGTGACGTGAAGAAGGATAACGAGCCTGTAGTACTTCGTGTCAAGGTAGATGGCAAGGATCATGTTCTTGGAATTCTAAGCCAGTCCACCCCTCAATTGTCCTTCGACTTGGTGTTTGACTCTGAGTTTGAGATCTCGCACAACTTCAAGAATGGAAGCGTTCACTTCTTGGGATACCAGACTGAGATGCCAATGAGATATCCTTGCTAAATAATTTTTAGCTTTAATTTGTTTCATTGGTCTTATATTGAACATTGCAATTGAAAGTGATTGATGCTCTAAAATTTTAACATATATTAGATGTGCAGAATTAGTTTCTTTGGGTTGTGCAAATAATGTTAGTAGCTCATACCTGACCTGTTGAATGTGTTGTTCAGGTTTTTTTGGTTTATGTTATTCAATTGCGTATAAGAATTTATTTACATATTGACTTGTATTATCTGGCTTCCTTGACTTTGTTTCTTCTTGTGCCACTGATGATGAAATGATGTCTGATGACGATGATGAATCAGATGAAGAGGTTCCAATTTTGCAGCAAGAAAATGGTAGATATTTTTTAGGACAAAGTATTCGAGTTTTGTGTTCATTTGATGCATGGCCTGATGTTATTCTTTCTCAGGAGTAGCCGCTGCTGCAGCTCCTAAGGCAAAGGCCGCTGCTAAGCCTGTCAAAAACGCTCCTGTTGAAGAAGACAGCGATGAAGATGATAGTGATGATGATGACTCTAGTGATGAGGTACCAACTCATAGTCTTACATAGTATTAAGATATGTTAACTGTTGCACACAAGCTAATCTTTCGTTTGTTATGATTGTGGTATATATGTTGACTTGGAGAATTGCTATTACAGGACATGCCAACACCTTTCAGCAGTGAACTTGGTAGTGACAGCGATGATGATGAAGAGGATGATGACGATGATGATGAGTCAGATGAGGAAGACACACCAGCAAAGGCACCTGCAAAGGTGGGCATTTGTTTTCCTACCTATATAAATATATAATATAGTTCTATCAAGTTAGCATTATTGATCTTATGTATTTGTGTTTTAGGCTGCATCTGGCAAGAAAAGGCCTAATGCTGATGCTAAGACACCCGAGTCTAAGAAGGCTAAGCTAGTCACTCCCCAGAAAACAGGTTAGCTTTCAATGTCCAGTTTGCAGATCTTCCTTTTATATACAGTTGCGCATGTTGTATCTTGCTTTGACTGACAATTCCTATGTGATCATCTGCCAGATGGAAAGAAGGGTGCTGCTCATACAGCAACCCCCCACCCGTCGAAGAAAGGTGGCAAGACTCCTGGTGACAAGTCAGCTTCCAAGTCCGCTGGCTCAGTATCGTGCGATTCTTGCAAGAAGTAAGTCTATTCTTGGATTTGTTTACATCTAATTTATAAACTTGAAATGTCTCTGGTTTGAAGCTGACATGTTGTATCAATGTTTTGCAGGACCTTTAACTCAGACGTCGCTCTGCAATCTCACAACAAGGCCAAGCATTCTGCTAAGTAGAGTGTTGAAATTCATCATTTAAATGGGTTTTTGTATGAATGATTAGTGAAAAGAAGAGGGGAAGGAGCTTAGTCTCAAATTTTGATGTCTTTTTTTTTGTTTTTTGGGTCTTCAATTGTTTGTGGGTGGGATGATGTGACTATCTGTCGGAGGATGTTATCTAGATCAGAGTAGAACTTTCAATATTATGTTATTCCTGCAAAATATTTGCTATATCAATGATTAAGTCGAAATTTTATGAGTACTTGTGTTGTGTCGCGCTTGTTTCCACTGTAGTATTATGTCCGTCTGCTTATGGTGTTGCTCATTACCTCCCCCCTCTGAATTGGGGATGTTTTGTTTTCGTCTGTGTTTTGACCATTCAGTATTGCAATCTGGGGTTAACTGTATGATTGAAAAATTGTTCAGATATATAGCATGATTCATATTAAATAAAAAAAAGGAATGATTTTCGGCAAGCAAGACCCACTTTCAGACATTAAGCAAACAGTAAAATGTCAACCCATATGCTGAGTCGTAAAAGAATAAAGTTCACAACCCCTCTTCAGATGAAACAACAAGAAACAAGCTTCAGTAATTCCTTTTGAAGGCTTTAAACTGGTGGTCCAAACTCCTTCGAAGGATTGCCAAAAAAAGTTAACCCATGCGCAGGCTAACACATCTGTTTTGGGGCATTTTTAACTAGTGCTGATTATATCCTACTTTCTATGTCTTTTTTTACTTGACCTGTTTCTTTTATCACGCTTACCAATGCAAAACTTTAGCGATCAATAAATTTAATTCTTCATAAGTAAAAATTATAAAAGTTGTATATTACGATAATACTTATTGAGACGAATTAAAGAAGATATCATATGAATATATTTTTCCTTACCTATCATTCACAAAAGACGGTCAAAGGAGAGGTGGTGAATAGTTTAAAAGTCAAAGCGGGTCAAGTAAAAAAGAACAAGGGTTTAACTTGGAATTCGTTAATCACTTGCTGCCTAAAAGCTATTTCGTAAAATTAGCTTATTCCCCAGTTGAACATTGAATTCAGATACATAATACATAAAATCTTTTTTTTTTTTTTTTTTTTTTTTGAAACATAATACATAAAATCTTAAGTCAAGAAAACTTAGCAAGTCCTAGATTTAATTTCCAGTAATATCACAATCACTACTTTTAATGGCCAAACAAACTTAAATGACATAGAAAAATTTCAACATAGAAAAATTTCAACAAACAGTAACTCCTCCAGTAAGATGGCATTCCTATTGACAAGAAGCAATAAGAAAATTGTTTACTAAATAACACGCTTGGCTCAATTGACATTATGTCTGTCCAGTACAAGCAAGCATCCAATACTAGTATCCTACAGAATTAAATTAGTAAGATTGGCAGTCCTAAACCTCCTGCTAAACCGTTGGTCTCAACTACAAAACGCTACAAAGTTTAATATCCAACTAAAGCTTAAGATCAAATGAAAAAGAAACAGAATTACATAATTCTTTCAAAACCCTTTAAACCCGAAACACCTCTTTCCAAGAACCAGCAACCAGCAACCTGCAACCTGCAACCTACAACCTGCAAACGCAACCCTCCAATATTTCCAAAAATAGATCACCTGTACACAAAATTCCACCATAAGCTCTGGTTAAAAAGATGCTTGTTCCTGAAGCAGGAAAAACTGCACCTGCAAAACTCATTTAAACGTAAGATCTTGACCGAGGATATATTATTGAGGAGGATAAAACCTAAAAAACAACCATGTGAGAAACTTTGCTGTCACTAGTCTCACTACTCTGGAAGTGCTGTGGCTTATTCCTGACTGTATCAAATAAGGGTTTTTCTTTTTAAAAACCAGACTAAACAGAATTATGACCATGGACCATTATAAGACAACAAAATCATGCAGCAAAAAGCATTATAGAGCATTAAGTAACAATGACGAGTTTTTCAATCTAAAATATTTTGTAACTTAATGACACAGCAGGATGTCAAACAATGATTTAACCAATGCATAAGTTACAATGAAAGATGACTACTAGGAGATATTGGACAGCAAGGTTAAGCCTGCACATTCTACCACAGAAAGAACATACACAAAGAAAGATGCAAACATAAAATTTTAAGATAAGTTTGATTAGAGGGCAAGATAAAAAGTTAAAAATGGACACAATGGGAATTTTTGCAAAAAAATCTTTTGATAGAGAAGAGAATGGTATGATACTAAACATGAAATTAGGAAGATGAATCTGAATCAGAGTTCTGTCTATATAATTTTGCCTTTAAAAGAAGTCACAGAACAAACAATTAATATGCATGCAACACTAGACAAAATTAACAGCTCCGTCAGAATAAAAATATGATGAATTAAAGATTGAAAAAGGAAACTTAGAGAAGAAAACATTTTGAACACAACATGCATCATGCAATATGAAAGAAGTTTGTTTATAAAAAGGAGAAACACATCACATTCCATATTGGAAAATGGGCTGTAAGAAAAATTTAATTAAACTTTTGGACTAAGCCATTGTGAGTAATCTTCAACTAGCCACACCATGAATAAATAAATAGTAAGAAACGAACCATGTCCAAGTTAATCAATATCCCTCCTGATGAGTTTGTTGTACTTGCTGCTGGAATCCATAGTTTTCTTCACCATTACATGCACCTTCATTGTAATAGACATCATTACTGTTGCCAGCATCAGTCTGCATCTTAGCAGCCTCTTCCTTTTCCCTATTCCATTGCTCAATTTTTGCTCGCCTCTCTTCACTACCTTCCCTGCTAGGGCTTCTTCTGTCCCTCTTACTAGCAGGACTTCTGCTTCTTCCCCGCCTGTGATCAGGGCTAGTGCTTCTATGCCTCCTGCTTCTACTTTCATAATAGCTATCCCTATCATCATGTCTTTTGCTGCTATGACTACGCCCATGGTGTCGGTCATCATAGTCATAGCTTCTGCGTCTGTATGGACTTCTACTACGGCTTCTGCTTCTGCTATGTCTTCTTCTATACCTCCCAAACAATTGGCGCCTCAACTCCCTGACCATACACATTCAAAAATTAACACAGGCTCCAGCAATACATACAGCTGAAAGAATATCAACAAGACACCATTGAACTTACCTGCTGATCCTCTTCAGATGCATAAAGTTACAATATCCACCTCGATTGCAATTATTTTCTTCATATTGCCTGCAAGTTGCTTCGCGAAAATCTGTGACCGGAGAGAAGTCTACAATAATAAGACGACCTACAAAGCACATTGCAGATCAACTGCATTGATATCATATGATTCATTATCCATATAAAACCCAGAAAAGGCTTCCAAAGCTAGATTATAACAAGGCTTAAAAGTAAAAATAGTATAATACCAGCATAGAATCTCCCAGTTAAATTACGATGTGCATTAGCAGCTTCTTCTTCTTCCCTGTACTGAACATAAACATTGCCCACCTGACAAAGACAAAGGTTGGATGAAACAGCACAACTAAGATTTTGGCTGCACACTTCAAAATTATGGCTAGACGAAATGTAAATGTGATAAACATACTTACCATATGGTCAGCCAGATTGTCACAGATATTTAGAGACTCAATTTCTCCATATTTGTTTAATTCCTCAAATAGATCTTCATAAAAATCCTAGAAGTTCAAACCAAACTAAAAATAATCAGGGCCAAGAGACAAAATGTTATCCAACTTAATTATTTGCTTGTAGAAGAATTACAAGTGCTAAATTCCAGTCCAAAGTATCTATCACATTAAACTTGGACACTATAAAACAATATGATTCTTGAATAATTCAATTTAGAATACCCATTAAAGTATCTATACTATCAAGATACTGAGTTATTGACTACCTAAAAAAGTTGCTAGTAAACAATAAGGTACATAACACACAAGCATTCAACTAATGAACTAACATTATGTCCTCGAAAATATACTACATTTCCTTTTTCCTTATGGTCATCCTCTAGGTACAAAATTCCAGTAGTCTTAGCAGCAATGTAACTACAGCAACTGAACAAGAACCCAATCACAATTTCCCCTCAATCCCCGAAAAACAACAATCTTGATAGTTACCAACGCCAAGTAAGTTTCTTGAATTACAATATTAAAACCTCCACAATCCTTTTATACAAGCCATCAAGCACACAACATAACAGGTTATCGGCTTATCGCTAAGAAATCAGCTCACCAAAACTTTAATTTATCATAATTTCCCAAAAGAAAACCCAACATTACAAATAAATACAATCAATTAACTAATCCGCAAGCAAAATTAGACTGCTTTCACGATCTTATTTATTTTCTAACACGAAACAGAACCGATTAATCAATCAATAATAAATAGTGAGAACAACCACAAAAATTTGAGGAAATTTTATAACTTGATATTAACACAATCAATCAATCAACTGTAAAACTTAAGGAAACTTGTAATTTTTAATAAACACAGGCGAAAACAATCGATTATCAGCTGCAAAACTTTAATAAACGCATGATTTTAGATTAACACGAAGCGAAGTAGCATAACAAATCAATAAATCAAATGCAAAACTTTCACAATTCACAAATTTAGATTGATACAAACCGAAAATAATCAAATAATCAACTGCGAAAATTTTGAAATCAATCAAGCTGCAAACTTTAAATCCAAAATTAACACGTAATTTAAGATTTACACAAACCAAAAACAATCAATCAAAAAAAAAAAAAATCAAACTAAAAAATTACCTCAAAATGTTCCTGAATTTTGCGAGGATCAATAGGATTACCCTGAGAATCAACACCAGGAGTAATCATATCAGGACGTTGATACATATTAGACAACAAAAGCGTAGGACTAATACTAGGCTTAGTATGAAGCCTTGAACATCGATCGCCATGTCTGCATGCTCCGATCTTAAAGTAGAAAGGACAATTAACTCTATCTTTCTCAGTACCAAAAATGGAGGCCAAGTTTTTCGCCATTGTTGAGAATTGAGATTGATCTAGGGTTTGTTGTCGTTCTTCTTGGTTTTTTGTCACTGTTTGTGTAGAAGATTGAAGAACATGAAATTGGGGATTTAATAAGGTGTATGGTTTCTGGATAGTTCTATGATTCGGTTTTTTTTGTTTTTAATGGTTTATTGTGAAAAAGTAAACATATTAGCTAGTTTGCCCGAGTGGTTAAGGGGGCAGACTTAAGATCTGCTGCACATAAGTGAGCGTGGGGTTCGAAATCCACAGCTAGCATCTAGGTTTTTAATAGTTGCAACACATTTTTTTTGTTAGAAAACTAAAAACGAAAATCAATGCCTAACCTCTGTAATTTTGTTTTTTTTTAAAAAAAAAAATACAAAAATTCTTTTTAAGAAAAAATACAAAAATTTATTTATTTGGGTAGTAAGGAAATTGTTGACATAAAATCTACTTACTCCGTTTTTTAATAGTTGCAACACACATATATTTTTGTTAGAAAACTAAAAACGAAAAACAATGCCTAACCTCTTTATTTTTTTGTTTTTTTTTAAAAAAAAAATACAAAAATTTATTTATTTGGGTAGTAAGGAAATTGTTGACATAAAATCTACTTTCTCCGCTTTTTAATAGTTGCAACACACACTTTTTAAGAATTATGGGGTTCACATGATATAATACATTTTAAAATGAGGTGAGTGGATATTAGGAGTGTAATTAAGTGGACCATGTGCTTTAAATAAGGGAAATAGTACATATTTTCTCTAAAATAACTTTCCATTATAGTGTGTTGCAAATATTGTGATATTTCCATTATTTTAGGGAAGTATTGCAAGTATAAAAAGCGGAGAAAGTATTTTTTTAAAAAAGAGTAATATTTAATATAAAATATTAAATATAATAAGTTAAAATAAAATATATATTATATAAATAATATAAAAAATATCATTTGATATAAAATATATTATAAAAACAATATAATAGTGAATATGGACTAAATATTCCCCAAGATACTTCGGTGGCCGGCGTACCATTTAGCACATATAATTCAAAAGGTGGTTCTATAGATAGCAAATAGTTGACAAAGTTGTATTACTTCGCACATACCGTTAATATTTAGGATTATTTTAAGCAAAATTTTCAAAAATAATGGTTTCTACATATTTTTAATTCTCTTCATTACGATATATACTACTTTTGCAGCTCTGCTTTCCATCTCCTTATAAAATTCTTCCTTTCTTATAATCCTCCTCCATCCTATCATAAGACTTCGATATCTTGACAGTACAATGAGCCAAGGGGCTATGCAGAACCACAATATGCAACAAGATCCCAATAACCGGATAAGGATTCTCATTGCATGGTGGATGACTTGTGAATAGCATCGATCACTTTAAGTTAAGATGCGCTCAAAACCCTAGAATGTGATTGAGATTGAGAGAACTAAAATATGTTTAGGTGAAAACATAAATGTAATACCCCAAAATTTCCTTGCTAGTATAAACTTTTAAATTTATTATTTTAAAAAATATATATTAATTATTTAATATTTTCGGGTTTAAAAAAAAAACTGAAAATTGACAATTTTCAGAAACTGATTTTGGAATAACTTTCGAAAACTGATTTTGTAAAAAAAAAAATATATTGACTTTGGATAATTTACAAAAAACTGATTTTGCATACTGGAAAAAAAAGTTGGCAAAAGTGGATAAAGGCTGATAACAAAATTAGTTAAAATTTTGATCCTATCCCATGAACTTTCTAGACTCTCAAGATTGATTTATAAATATATGTTTCATCTTTCTAATACTATCATTACGATTTCAAAAAAAAAAAAAAACAGTTTCGAAGCCGAAATACCGACTTTGGAAAGCAACTCGTCACTTTCCTCATTGTTGGGTTTGATAATTGATCATTACTATCTACTTTATTTAATTACTTACTGATCTTCTCCTTGGTCCACTTAATTAGACTTTGTGGTGGATGTTCTGGCTCTTGGGTTCGAAAGTTTGGTAGGTGATTATGATGATGATGATGATATATAATATCTCACGTTTGACTCATCAATTAGTTCATCTAGTTGTCTATTTTTGGGGTGATTAGACTATGGGTGGTGACAAATCAATTTTACGCTCAATTTTTTTATTTTTTTTTTCGTTAGTCGTACAATTATCTAATTTAGGCTATTTATTTGTTTAATTGTAGACGAAGGCCGTATAGGTGATTACTCGGGGAACTACTAACCTTTATCCACGCGTCCTAGAGGTAATTTTCAATGTCCATCATCTTTAGAATCCCGTTAGGAAATTATTTTGAAATATTATGTGTCAAATACGTGCTTATGTAATTATATGTGATGAGTGTGTTATCGTATTATGGAATTATATATTATATATGAGTTTTCTATTTGTGTACTAGTATATGTAATTTCGAAAAAAAAAATATGATTATTTGTTATCGTATGAGTTTTTTTTTTAAATATAATCTTGGGTATTGGATGATTGATTATACGTGATTGATGGTCTATATGTCATGTAGGATGACTATGGTCTAATAATATTGAAACTGAAGCGTTGTTACTTGAAATTAAAATTGATTTGTGCAATACTTGTGTACAGTGTAGTTGGATGATATAATCTAATAAAATGTACAGTGAATTTTAATTTGAGAAGGGAAATGAAACCCGAAAGGGTGAAGAACAGGTTGCCCACTAGTAGTGATGGTTGCTACTAGTTGGTTTAATTTATTGTATATTGCTGTTAGTCTTCCTCCTAATCACTGTGTATTAGTGAGGGGTGTGCACACTAGGGACATTATGTTTTATTTTATGGCCAAATGGGGTGATGCGCGACCCTCTGTAAAGTAGGTGGTGACAGGGACTAGTCCCGGCTTACTGGCGTTTTCTTTCCCTTTCTTAAATAAGTAATAATATGTTATGTGACTATTTGAACTTGGTTGAGTATTAAAATATTTATGAGACTATATTATGTATAAACTGTTTTAAACTAAAATTTATTTATTTTATGGGATGGAGTTGGAATTACTTAGTTTATCTGATTTTTGGGAGTCTTCTCTCTTTTCTTGTTTCTGATTTATTTTGCAGGTTGGTAGAAAGGGTACTCGGTTACGTGTGAGGAGACGTTAGAATAATCACGTAGCTAAGACAATTTAGTATATCCCCGAATTTAATTATTTCCTCTCAGTTATTGGTTTCAAATAATTGCAGTTTTTGATATAATGACTATTTTATTTTGCCACAACTTAGACCACTTAGTTATTTTAAATATTATGTTATTTTTGCTTTGCATTTATTTTCTACGGAAAATAAGTGTGGCAGTAACACTTTCAAAGTTCGATGGTTGGGTTTTTAAAAGTTAAAGGTTACACTTATTGTTTTTAAAGACTCGAATTTTGGGGGTGTTACAAATTGGTATGCAGAGCCCAGGTTTTTCAAAATTTAGGGACTAAAACGAATTAAATTAAAGACTTAGGTTTAAAATTTGTATATAAGTTTAAAATTGATTTAAGCTTAGGAAAGCCGTGAGTGTGGGAATCACGATAAGGGATTTATGTGTTTTATAGTACTTTTATTTAATACTTATTATGTGATTATTTACTTTCTTTTATTAGATGGTACGAGTACTTAAAACCGCAAGAAAGTCGAGTGCTAGGAAGAGTACACATTTATTACCTGATTCTCCTTACGGGATTCGTATGAATTATAATGAAAATATTTGACATTACGTGTACCGCTTAAATCTCTGCATTGAGCACTTTCATTACAATATACTTTGGGGCCAATCTGATTATCTCACTCCAGAGAGGCGATCTCAAATCCTTCTACACACGTTAATTGGGAAGGGACCCTATGCTCAACTTACAAAGAAGTATGTTGACTTATACATTAATGGTAAACCGAATGATAAGTATTATTATGATGAACAATGGATCCCTACTGTGGACTACCTTGAGAAGGCAATGATGGAAGCCAAGCGAGACTTTGACTATAACCTGGATGACGAGGAGGAGGATGAGCCCCAGGAAAGTGAAGCTCGTGAGAGTCAAGGGGAAAATAGTAATTGAGTTATCCATTTATTTTTTTAAAGCTACGTTTAGTTTATTTGGTTAAAATTTTTATATATTAGTGTAGAAACCCATTTGTGTCTCCCCAAAACCAAACCCAGTGATGAGTACCTTTCACGTTAAATCATAATCGAATGAAACGAAAGTGTGGAAAGGTCTAGTGTTGCGGAAAGTTTTATTTCTTTTCTTTTCTCTTCTTCCTTATTTTGAAAACTTTATTTTAAGAAAACAGCCAATCCATTTTGGTTGGTCCATGATATGGGTCCAATAGTGGTGTAGTTGGATGGGGCTTGCAAAGACCTTTCCAACGATATATTATAAGCCCAATTCCGATGAATATTGAGGAAGTTATGGCCAATTTACTAAACTGGGCCCGGTTTGAGCTTTATGTACGGCCCAATGATCTAGGAGAGGGCCTAATATGATTTATCATTCCTAATGTAATTAGGAATGGTTTTAGTCTTCTAGAACATTCTAGAAGGTTCTTTTCATTCCTAATTCAATTAGGATTCTTCAGAGTTTTAATCAAGATCAAATAGCATTTTCGACTGAATTTATATTATTTTATCTTCCAGTGCGAGAAATTTATCAGAATTTCGAAAACGCGTTAAAAGTCGGTTTGGCGTCCAACCCCAGGCCTTGGCGCCTGGAATCAGGATTGGCGCCAGACGCCAGCCATTGGCGCCTGGCGCTAGCCACTGGTCCTGGCGCCAATGAGCCAGGGCTGACGCCAAGGTGGTTTTGTGGTCTTCAGACTCTGTTTTGATAAATTATCTTTTTTAGATGATTTTCTCTATAAATATCATATCAAAAACTCCGTTTTGATTCACGAATTCTCCTTATTCTTAAGTCATCATCATCTACATCTATCATTCACCAATTCTCTTTATTCTTAAGTCTTCATCAACTCTCAATCATTCATCAAATTCTTTGAATTCATTCATCTCTTTTCATCAACGCAACTTTCATTAACATTCATTCTTTCTTTTTTTTAAACTTTGCTTTTTAATACAAAATTCCGCATTCACAAGATCTTGAAACACCTAGCCATATTCGAAGTTGCCTTCGCCCTAGACGTGAAAGGTTTTAATTTCTGAGGGTTTGGTCCTGAATCTCTCTTTCAATTATTTAATTTAATTATTTTGATTATTAT